TTGGGACTCACACCCCATGGAGTTGTGCCCATCAAAGAGCTTGCACAGGGGATTCACCCTGGCACACCTTGTGCTTGGGCCAGCTATACACAAACCACCAGAACATCCTAACACTCCTAAATATATTTAAAACATATACAATGGTTATACATATGAGGATTTTTATGGATTTTTAATTTAATGATGTTTAATGTATCTCCTCATCACAGGGAACGGCTCCCAGCTGGTGAGAGATCACTTCGTCTCTGTCCGTCACTTCTCGGTCGCCCAAGGTCTCGGTCCCGCCTCGCAGGCGCCCAAGCGTCTCAGGGACACGAGCAGCTGCATCAAATGGGGAGATCCCAACGCCCGGTCGCCTCGGTCGCCGGCCGCCGGGTGAATCCATGAGACTGACGTGATATGAGACTGAATGGGGGCCGGAGCAGTGTAGATCTGAAGATTCATCCTCTTAACACCGCTTCAGATCACAAGGACACCTGGCCTAAAGTATAGTCAAAATTAGAATCGTCGTTTAAGATTGGGTTCTGAGTTCTGAGGGTGTGGGACCTCAAATAGGTTTCCAAATGCATTAACCGCTGATATGGTTGGGCCCTTGGTACTACCAACAACCCGTCTCAACATCACTCGCAACTTTGCTCCAGCTGATTCAATTGCAATCAAATACTCAACCATCTATATGGCAAAGGGTCAAGTCCCCATTCCCCCCCCGTTCCTGTACAGATCCCAGAGTTCACCCAACAGTTCAAAGAAACGTCCTCCTCGATCCCGCGCCCTTTGGCGCTTGGAAAGTCGGGCGTTGGCCACTCCAAGCCACATGCTGCAATCACAGACATGTAGCCCTCGGCCTAAGTTGGAGCCACGGCCATGGGATCTCAGATGGGCTTCCTGGAAGCTCAGAACTTCACCACTGGGTCAATAGATGAATATAGCGCTAACAGCCAAGAGGTGGGGCTGGGTATAGCACCTGAGGTCCACGCGGGCAAAGTTTTGGCGGTTTTAGACATCTTTGGAAATTTGACACGTGCATGCAGTCTGCTTTATGTATAGTTTGGTTGCTCAAGGCTGGCAAATATATCCGAATTTTGGATCTTATATGGATCTGCCAAAGTGACCAGGGACCATCCGACCATCAAAATCCCCATGCGAGACCGCCTTCGCCTTCACTTGGGCCACCGGGCGTTCACCTTCACCCAGCCATCACCATCATCATGAGCTGAGACCATGGTGCCCCAAGGCAGCACCAAATCTTCCAACTGGAGGCGCTCCGTGCATCGCAGTTCGCACGGGACATGAAGCGTGAGCACATTTGCTTTGTCTGTGGATGGGGGCTTCTCATGGTCGCTTCGCGTGGGAGCTTAGTAGTGGAAAGATATGCAAATGGACTCAAGAATCTAAGAAGACACAGCCACAATTTAACTTCTTCCAGTGTGTCAGGAGGCCACCGAAGAATACCAGAAGAACGGGATACACAACGACTGGAGGATTTGCTTGTGGAAAGCTTGTTGGTTTGCCTTCCCCGCTCGTCTGGCAAACTCCTCATCAACATAAACATATCTATATGTCTATCTATCTATCTATGTACGCATGTCCTAGCAAACAACCCTCCTGAGGACCCATGGCCATTTTGGTGTTCCAAGTTGTAGCATGTTGTAGCCGCAGCCTCTTATGGTGACTCCTGAACCCAGCTTGACATTGAGTTTTGCATAGTTGGCATCTCAACCCGTCCGAGTGCCTCTATCAGGCAGCCAGGCGGCCAGGTCAAGAAAATACTTTACATTCTCGTGCCACAAGATACATCAAAATCTCAACGCCTAGGGGAATGACAGCAGAAGGGCAAATATTTCTCCAGCTGACCAGCGCAGTATCAAAGCATCAGCCAAAAGGTCATGCATCTACCAAATAAACATATAGCCTACTAAGAATGAGACCCAAGCTAACGCTAGTTGGCTGAATGCCATCTTGTGGTTAGCCATCTCCCTTCAACACTTCCGTGCTTTTCTACCCGTCCTCGAGTCTTGAGCATTTGGCCGCACCTTGTCTCCCAAGTCCTTGCTCGTGCGGAAGCTCAGGCCTTGCACCAGAAGGGGCCACTGTGAGGGCCATGCAGGCTATGAGTGTTGATCATGCGCGGGCAGAACCTTCACAAACGACAGAATCAAATTGATCAAACGACAGAACCTCTGATAACCCTGGCCCACAAAAGACATTGTGCTGCCCTCACACCCCTTCCCAATCAACCTCATCCGCCTATATACATGGTTTCGATATGCTTCAATATATGCAGTCTTATTATGTCTTATGTATTAATTAGGTCTTAATTTCTCGCATTCATTCCTTACCACGATCCACCGCACCTCAGGGTTTCTGGAAGAGTATGTTTCACTTGGTAGACCTCTCAAGCCTGTTTCTGCTTTCTAGTACTTGAAATATCTCCATAACGAAAGTTTCAGGGAGTGGTTGAGAATCGAAAGAGACCGTGAGTATGAGAAGGAACATTCTTGTAAAAGGAACGGTATCTCCTACCTGGCTGATCTCAGCTCAACATCCAAGTTGTTGAACTGTGAGATGCCCAAAATTTAAACAATCTTCTCTCATACTCAGAGCTGTGTTCACCATTCACTGTCTTCAGCCCTCCGCACCCTAGGAACCTTGTGTTGGTGCGCGTAGGAGTCGGTTGTCGGCCCGCCAGTGGTTGCCACCCTCATTCCGAAGCACCTCTTTCTCCTGGGGGGGAAGTGGCATTCTCAAAATTGTCTCATGAAATTTCCCGGAAGAGTCTTGGATTCGCAAAACTGTAGTCGCCACACAGGTACACATTTCTTCAAGACCACTTTCAAGACTGGACATGATTGGAAATGGATTTGGTTCCTGGCCGGCTTCCACCAGTGTCAGGGGAACTGTCAGGGGTGCAGGGGCCGGAGCCCAGTGCCAGAGCTGCCTTTACCCAGGGGACTCCCCTTGGTTCCACTGAAGTTGGGGTCCAAAAACGAGACACGCCATGGCTCGCAACTGCTCCGGTCCAAACTCAAAGAGCTGGAGAAAGCCATGCTTGGGCAGCGCATGCTGCTCTTCCTCTTTGCTCCCCCGTCTGACGATGTTATCAGGTGGGAATGTCATACCGTCATCTACTCATATACTTGCTCCCAAGTCAACCCCTAGGTTTAGTCCAGTCCCTTTCACATGAAAAGCTCACTATTCCCCAGGTGGAGTGGGGTGCCCGTGGGTGCCGCTCAAGTCCGTCCTCCAAGGCAATTGGCAGGTAGCGCTCCTGCCATCACTTCGAAGAAATATCTCTGCACCCGAGATGGTAGGAGATGACAAGCCCCAAAAGGAAAAAACAACTGCAAAACAACCAACTCCTCTGGCTGCAGCAAAACAGGTGGGAAATGCCGGAAACAGCCTGCCCCGAACCCTGTCAAACCTGCTTGAGGTCATCCGTCCTTCAAGTAGGGCATTCTTGGGAGCAAAAGCCATAAGCCCGTAAGCCATATGATGAGCTCTGAAAACCGAGTGATGCACCTGATTATATAGCTGTTTCTATTACTTTGGTCATGCTGATGAAGCCTCTATGCCCACGCCGTGCCCATGCCTGATTTCCACAGTCACTCCTGCAAAATGCCTTTTGGCAAGAACGCTCGCAGCTTCTGCTCCCATGCCAATACTCTCCGTGAGGGCGCATCAGAACCTATCCTTGCCGTCAGAATGGATGGGATAATGAACGGCGCAGGAGAATAGCCCAAGTTTGGTTGCGAAACCAAGTGCAATGCATGCTCTTAGTAATGACTAAACATAAATGTATACATTACACACAACTTCAAAAATTATAACATTCATCATATGTTATATATATACACATATAGAGATACAGTATACACAAGTACCATGCTGGCGTTTGTCCAGCAATATCCCACCATGTGGCCTTGGGCATCGTGAATTGCAGGAGCAACGTTGTTGCCGGACTAGGTTTCTTTCCCTACACAGTGGAAGTGGAAGCAAACATGGAGATTCGAGGTCCAGTTGCCCTAAAGACTCATTCCCTGTGATCACACCAAACATACTTACCGTAGCTCCCGTGGTGGTCCAAGTGCTATGATGGCACTCAGAAAACCTCAAGAAAGGCTTGATTGGTGGATGACCCCAGGCATCTGAGTCAAGAGCCTTGCAAAGGCTAATAAGTGCAACCCAGTGGCAGCGGATTGAATGGCTTCTCTTCGAGATGATCCATTGCCATGCTCGCCAACATCATGGTTCTAAGACTTGTCTATCTGCGCTGGTGCTCAAGCAGTATTCGGAGTGGGATTCATCGTGAGCATTGAAGCGAGTGACCAAACATCCTCCTTCAGTTAGAAACAGCAGGAACCATCAAACTATCGACCGGGGACCTTTTAGCGGTGGCCATGTTGCAACTGTAATGCTCATCTCCTCAAAAGAGGTTACTTCTGAGAATCCTTGTCGTCACAAATCCCACCTGTGCTGCACGCATTCTTGGCCACACACACCACCTTTGAGCCCAGCAGCCGTTGGAATCTGAAGGCTGAAACAGCTTTCACGCCTTCACACATGGCCGTGGGTGAGAACCCCACCGGGATGAACTTGAACATGCAAGCCAACTTCAGCGGCGTTGGCATCTCGGCCCTCTTGCAACACATCAAAGGACGGCCGGAAGCTGCAAGAAGTGAGCAAAGAAAGTGAGATGTCAAGGGAGAATGGCTTATGGCCGCCACGGCTTCATCTTGCGTCATGTGCACATCAAGCTCCAGCTACTGCTCAAGTCCGACACAACGCCATAGCTTAGCCAAGTATGGTCTTAAACCCGTACTGTAAGTTAAAGACTTCAAGGGTAGATCTTTATCTTGATCCACAACCCTCCAAAACCCACCAAGTAGTTGGAAAAGCGCTGCAGGTGGAATGTCAATGTTAACATCGCGTAGGGTGCAAGGGCCCTTTCACCCTCACTTCACCAATGGAGAACATGGACGATTTACACCTGCAGGCCCTGCAGGCCTGTCAATTCGACCACATGCTTCGCCTCAGGACCACCTCAAAGCAAACAGGAAATTCAATCCTGCCCCATGGTCCACTTTGTTGAGCAAAAGGGAATCTCCTCAAAACGTGTGAGGCTCGAGCTCATTTACTGAAGTAGCCAGCATTAAAGGTGGGACAAAGGCATGGCTGGCCCGAACCAAACACGAAATTCACTCGAAAGGCATCTCCAGTCCATTTTGAGCTGCACGGGTCACGCCGGGACAGAACGACCCAACCTCAGTAGCTCAGTCGCCGTAATGTCAATGTACTATTTACAGTAATAGCAGCTCGTATGGTCCATGTTGAGGAATTTGATTGGCGTGAAAAGCATGCAATTTTTGTCATTTAGAATATAGTACAATATATATATATATTATATTATAGAAGGCCGTGCGTGCCTCTAAATAGTTCAGGACTGGTAATACAGGTGATGCAGGAAGCACAGGAGAAAACCTGGACGATATGCAATGATAAGTGCCCTCCATGCCTTTTTTCAATGTTCTCCCAATTTTTGTTCCATACAGATTTGGATGATGGGGGCGGCAGTTTCAGATCACCTTGCCCTTTCTGATTGTCGGTCGATTCCCTTCTTACCAAGTCCTTTCGTCCTTGTCCTACATGTGCATCTTGCCAAACTTGTAATTATTTCAATTGTTCCACCATCCAATCCCTCACATCTCAGTCCACTGAGGATCCCAGCGCCTTTAGCACTGCCTTCTCATAAAGACCAAAGGCTAAAGCCTGGCCGCAAAAATAGAGGCCGGAGCACCTTTGTTTTGTGGATGTCTGGGGCATGGATGGTGATGGGAGAAAAACTGCATCTCCACCTAGGAAGCCTGACATTCTGATTCCCATTTAGCTAGAAGGCCCCCACTTGTGGCTGGACGATGGATCTACAAAAGCCATGCCTTGCCAGACTCTCCCAGCTGCGACATCCTGAGACTCATCGACGTGGAAGTAAAGAGGGATGCGGACGCGTTGTTGGACGGAATGAGCCAATCCACCAAGTCAGACAAAGCCCGACGCAACACTTCTTGGGCCTACTGGACCTTGGCCAATCTACTGGACCTTTGTTTGCCCAGCTTTACAGGCAGCCGTGCTTCTTGTGGGGTAATGGGGGCACCCTTTCCGCGCTTACCCCACAACTCCATGGGCCCCGGGCAGTGAATCCATCATTACTCCTCCATTCACCTCCATGATCAGCAGCCCCTCACAGGTGCGGAGATCAGGGACCAAGGGGATCGAGGAACCACTGGGACCTAGGGCTGCAAAGCAGGGGGAGGAAAACCGTCCCATCTGCGCACAGCGCCCATCTGAAAATCCTACTCCAACTCCACCAGATTGTTCCAACCCAAACACCTTCCCAATGCTTTGACGCGTCATGTGTCGACGCGTCAACCCGAACACCTCGTCTTTCACATCGATGATGTCCACACTGCAGAAGCTCATCCCAATGGCCTTTACTGCTCGAACCGCCACCTGTCGGACAAACATAGGGAGACGACCAGCTAGTCAATCTACGGCTACTGTGGCAGGGAGGATGTCAAGCTCTGCCCCAAAGCGAGACTCGGCGAAGTAGTAGGAAGCGTGGAATAGTGCTGAACCTCTGGGTCCAAACTGGTACAAACAAAGACCACAGAGGTAACTTGGCTACAAACTGAAGGTCCTTGTGACTTCTGTCCCAGCAATGGACCCCCACTGGCTTTTGTGGATGTGGGCAAATGTGCAACTTGCAAACACGATCTTCGTGTTGCTCTTGGGAACAGTACAGGTCCGGCTTAGCGTGTTTAAGACCCACACCAGAATCAGGTACAGTCTTGCAATATCTTGCAATCCTCCAGTTTGGGGTAAAAATCAACTTTGCAACATTCCAAGGCCCATGGGGCCCATGGTCTTATGAGTGTTAGATCAATTTGGAATGTGGGCGCGTTCCTGCGTGTGCGTCTGATGTACCACGGTTCACATACAGAAGCGTCACGACATGTGACCAACAAACGAGAAGGTTCTTAGAGAGGCGAGGCAAAGCATCCGCAAGTTCGAGACCAGCCTCTGCCAGATTCTTGGCCATTTCAGCCTCCACCTGCATCACCGACGACTGGTCACAAGTGTCCGCTGGACGGAACTTCCAGTAGAAGATGTGAGAAGGACTGAAATGACCAGTTTCTGATAGATTCCTCTACCAACAGAGGGGTACAGGGGCTGGTCCACTTCCATGTTTGGAGGGAGGGTAGGGCCCCTTTTTGTGGCCGCTCTCGTGCCACCAGCGACTTGTGACACTCTTCGCCTTCAAATCGACAGAGGCACCATGCCCCAGGTTGTGCTTCCACCTGAAAACACTTCAGCGAACTCATCAAGTAGCAAGATGACGCTTGCCATGAAACTGCAGGGGTCTTATGTTTCTGGCTCGGGAAGCCCTTCGCCGCCCGATCTGGGCTTCCCGACTGCAGTGCTGCATCTTGCCCCTTCGCAGGGACCGATCCAAGCTCCTCTGGCCCTAAGCGAACCGCCCACGACCCAGATGCGACAAGTACATCTGTGCAACATGGCCGCCATCCATGGTCTGGTGTGTGTGTGTGTGTGTGTTGCATGCCTTAGACCTTTCTCATGGCTCCTGCCATGTTTTAGTCGTATTTGCATCCTGGGGCCTCCAGCGGAGCTCAGCAGCATCCGCCAGGAGGGCAGCCATTTCCTATGCTGCGCTTCTTTCAACATCTTTCAACCACCAGTCACTATAGGTGTTACTACTTGCGAACGTTTTATCCGGGTCAAATATATACGGGTGCACATTTAATTTGGGATTTTTCAGTTTTTTCGGGTATATTTTTCAAAAACATTGGAATAGAGCAGGTTTCTTATTAGTACCTAGCCAATTACAGCAATTTCGTGTCCTTAGCCGAGACACGGGTGTCGTAGCTGGCCAAATACATTGGAATAGTGCAGGTTTCATATTAATTGCTAGCTGATTAGACTAATTTGGGAGCTGTCGTGGCTGGCAAAATACATTGGAATAGTGTAGGTGTCAGAGAAAGTCCTACGTTAGCAGAGAAACAGTAAATCATATATGATTGGTTAGAAGTTTATGCCCCGGGGAGTTCACCTTAAAATATTGATTTCGTGGCAGGCGCGGGTGTCGGAGATGAAGTGCAGATTTCGTGGCGCGGGGGGGGGGGGGGGGGGCGCAGCGCCCCCCCAGCAGCACAGATCCAAAGGTTAGAAAATGTTAGAAAGCAAACAGATGGAAAAGCAAAAACAAAAAGAGAAAGGAGAACAGCTGCCAAAGCAGAAAAGCAAAAAAAGCAAAGAGCAGAAAGACAAAAACACAAAAAGCAGAAAAGCAGCAGAAGCAGAAAAGCAGCAAAAGCAGAAAAGCAACAAAAGCAGCAGAAGCAGAAAAGCAAAAGCAGAAAAGCAACAAAAGCAAAAAAGCAGCAAAGCAGAAACGCAGCAAAAGCAGAATCCGAAAAAAAATCCCCAACAACAAATGTTAAAAAAAAAACGAAAAAAAAAAAAGCCCCTCCAATAAATACAGCAGGGGAACCATCCTTCAACTTTTTGGATCCGATACTTTCGGTAGAGACGCTGACGCAAAAATAGGATACGAATGGATACGATTCTGGATGTTCATCTCTTTTGTCGCGTTGAAGGTGGTCTGAACATGGGCACAGGTGCCCCGCGGAGGATCTAAAGAAAAACAAAGGATGATCAAAACTAAACACAAAAGATCAAAAAAAACAAACAGTGATCAACAACGAAACAACATACTGCAATGTTGCAATAAAAACCAAGGACAAACGAGGATCCAAAAAATCAAGCAAAATCCAACAAGGCTCTAAAATAAATAGATAATAGATAATAGATACTAGTAGTAGTAGTAGTAGTAGTAGTAGTGGTAGGAGTAGCAGTAGCAGTAGCAGTAGTAGTAGCAGGAGTAGTAGTAGTCGTCGTGGTTACTACTAGTGGTAGTGGTAATGGTAGTGGTAGTCGTCGTCGTAGTAGTAGTCGTCGTAGTCGTCATCGTGGTGGTGGTGGTGGCATAGTAGTAGCAATAGCAGTACAGTAGCAGTAGTAGTGGTGGTGGTAGTAGCAGTGGTAGTAGCAGTCGTAGCGGTAGTGGTAGTGGTGGTGGTTAGCAGTAGTAAGTAGTAGTAGGTGTAGTAGTGGGCGAAGTAGTAGTGGTAGTGAGGTAGTGGCAAAATTTGCCTAGCCACTCGCATCTATCTTTTTTTCTTTCTTTCATTATTTCTTTCTTGTTCCTCCTAAGTACCTTGTCTCTCCTAAGTATTGCTTTTTTGATGCCTCGTTGTTTTGTTCTTGATCCCTATTTGCTTTTTGAATCTTTTTGATGATTTTTGTTGATTCCTATTTGTCTTTTTCATCCCTCTCCCGGTGCTGCGGGTCTCCCGCAGCGTTCTTCACATCACTGACTGTAGGTGACAAGCTCAATATTAAAGACCAGGGCGACTATGTGATGGCACTGTTGTCAGGCTGTTATCATTCGTTTCACACGAAATAAGTTCCGACACGTGAAGGTTCACCATCAGGGAGACAAAACAAATAAAATTCTATCTTGATATGAACCAAGATGAACCAAGAGCCGCGGCCCCAACCACTGCTCGAAGAGCCCTTGAGAGTTGATGTACGGGTGGCCGCGCCTCTGGTTTGGCATTTTGAAGCCTTTCAGCCAGCAGTGCTCCCACGGACCTTTCTCCATCCTGAGATTTCGATGGATTTGGAAGAAAGAAGCAACTGCCAGTGCAACTGCCATTGTCTGATATTGTTGTCTTGGCCCCCCTGGCACCCAGCACGGAGCTCCTCACCTGCAGTGGCGAACCAAGAGCAGAGGAAAAGGCACGAAAGAGTAGAGGCTACATGCTATCGCATGTTATGGACCAGCTGACACATCTTATGATGAAGACTCTTCGCTGCTGGATGCAACATACAAGTTGTTGGCTTATGTTAGCCCAGTTCAACATGAGGAGCTTTTCACCTGAAGAGCTCGATTGATCACCCACGCGATTGTTTTGCCGGCCAGAAAAAAGAAGGTTGGCACTCCCAGAATGCTGGCCTTTCGATACGTCAGCTGCACCTGGCGAGATCTTGCACCCAAACCATGCGAGAAAAGGCTTCCACTTACCGCTGGGCACCACATGTGACCAGAACGCTGGGCTGCGGAACTATGCCAAACGACGCCCCAGCGACTGGCCATAGAACTCGCTCAATCAGCCATAGCCACGGATGGCTTCGAAAAGTCAGCACTGTCAAATGGCCGGGAAACAACATCAAATGGCATTGGACATGAAGGCCCAGCTAGGCTAAGGAAACCGTTTTGCAACACGAAGCAGTCCGGACATGTCCGGACGCCACACATCGCAGTCCGCTCCACCGGTACACGCGGCCCGCCCGCCCGCGGGTAGCGGAAGTGCCCGCGCCTCGGTGCCAACACCTCGGATGGGAAGGAGAAGCCACGAAGTGAGGACAGGAACCTCATAGACTCATAGCCTGGAGTCGGTGATAACTGTTGACAAACCATTGACAAATCGATTCAAAGATGAACAGCACATTCGAGATCCACTACGATTTGGAAGCAACATCCACAGCACCTGGTGACCAGTAGAGGTCCACTGATCACATTTTTTGAGATATTTTTTGGCCCACTTAGGCGCAGAGTGCCTTGCTTGTTCCCGCTCAAATGTGAAAAGGAGCAACTCAAACCGCTTCATGCCCCGCGGGTTGATTCATAGGTATTCTACTAGGTATTCTTATCCGGGGAAAACCGCGCGAGTGTCGTCACTTGCCGAGCTGCAAATGCATCTGTATTCGTCCACCACATGCTTGTACGGACACACCGCTAAGCCATATTCCCTGGAAGCCAGGCAAGACTCGGTTGAACAAATGATGAGGAGCTGCATGCATGAAGGAAAGGGCTCCACCAGTGAGTCTTTGATCTAACGGTAAGGCAGCCGTGAGGGGAGCTTCGTCCAATGCCCCAGCCTACCTCAGGGGGTCTCAAGTGCCGAACACGATTTGAATTGCTCCTTCCCTTGTGCATCTCCCCTCAGCTTGAGACTCCTTATGCAAATAGCCATGTATTTCCCTCACTCCCAACCAGCTACCTTCACTACCAGTATCTACTGGCAGTCTTCCTTCCCCAATGAGAGCAGCGCGCAGGGCGCATCAGCGCGCAGCGGCCAGCCTAGAGAAGATGTGCTGCACCGCCGCCTCGACTTCTCGCCAGCAGGTGGCCTGGGCGAAACCGCGAGGATGACAAAGACCCAAACATAGCCCACCAGGACCCACAAGGGATGGTTAATGGACACCCCTTGACCTCTAAGGGGCTATTTATAGACATCCCTTAGGGCCCTCATTGGTGTTTGAATCGCCTGAGCCAGATCTATTGAAATCATGGTCCATCATCTCTACCTGGTGATTTTGCATCTTCAGCCTGTTTGGGCCCCGCTACGTTATGGTTTCCGATGGTTTCCAATGACAAGGCCACAGGTTTGGATGCAAGAGTAGATGTGTGAAACTGCTGGAATCCTTGGATGAGGATCAGCTTGAATTCATTTGATAAGGACTCTAATACTGAGCGATTTCATCTTTTGTCCACGTGTGGCTTGAATCGAAAGCCGCTTGCCCACCTTCATCACATCCAAACCACCGGTACCTTGAAGCATCACCGTCCGAACGCTCAGAACGCTCCAAGTGAGAGTGTATATATATATATAGCCTGAAAGAAAGCAATGACCTGGAAATATGTTGGTTCGTGTTTTTAGGGAGTTGGATATACTATATCCTCAACATCATGTCATGTTATGGTATGCTGTTCGCTACTGGCACATACTGAAACTACTGTTGAACGTTGCGTTTGGTACAGTACAGCTCCTGTTCGTTTTCGTTGCCAAAGCCAAGGTCCATGATTTGCTCCATGATCGCACGATCTCAGGCTGGGGCCCTTCAGCGGCTTGACCACCACAGGGAAACCGTACTTCTTCACCACCTCCTGAACCTGAGAGCTAACGGCTGTTTGGTTTAGAGTTGCAACGGCTGGGCGAGATGTCAATCCTGTGACTCCAACAAATCTTCAAAATCAGAGGTCTTACCTGAGCAGCTGTGGGTCTGACTTGAGTCCCTCAAACCTGAGGGGGAGAGGGAGAGAGCGAGAGAAACAAACCAAAAATATAGCCTCAAATAGCAAATGTCCAAGTACGACCCGATTTGTATCGATTTGTCTTGGAGCCCAGGGACTGGTTCCCAGATCCCATTCTTTGAAACATACTTCGCCGTGAAGGGATTCGAGGGGCTCAGGAAGACATGATGTGGCACCTGGGCGCGGAGACACAACCAACAAAGCTTGCAAGCACCGCGCAGCTACAAACATCAGCATCAAACACTCTGAAAATCACTTTGCCCTGCCCAAAGTCGTGCAAAACACTCAGAAACCTGGAAGCTGAACATGCATATGCAGAAAAAGAAACATAATTATGGTCCAATGCCCATTTGATGTCGAAAGCATCTCGCTCAGAATCCCTCCACCTGTAGATTTGATGAAAAAGACCGCATTGGAACAGCCATCAGGCCAGGGCACGTTAGCAACCTGAGCAGATCGGGCCCAGGTCGCGTTGCAAACATGCAACACCCGGCGCAACAAACACATCGGACATCGATCGTTACATCCAACCTGTTTCTTAATCTCACCGGCGTTAGCGACCGCGAACTTCCTTCGCGTGATTTTGTCACTTTGGTTGGGTCCTCATCCGATTCATGCTGCTGCTTCATGCCTACTGCTGTTTGTTGTGGGTGGTTCGGAGCGGGCCAAGGGTGATACGTGTTGTGAGTGCAAATCAAACAATGTGCGGGTGGGTGGTTCTGTCCCTGCTCTGTACAGAAAAAAATCAGTGAATGATTCGAGGTGCTACACAGTGGTCCTATAGCTTCCGTTGCCAAAAGATTGTCTAGCAAGTCTAGTATGGTCAAGAGGAAAAGCTTCTCCTCATGGAGTCTTGAAGGAGGTTCCCTTGTCAACAGTATCATGTGTTAGATTGAGCATTGATTAGACTAAGGACATCCACTCTTTGATATGTTTGAAGTATGAACCTTGGCTCAACTCAATCACTCAGTGTTTCTACATTTTCTACGATGTATTTTTGATTGACATTGAACATGCAGGGCCACTGGGGAACAAAAACAACCACAAACCCTCTGTACCCCTCTGTAAAGTACAGTGTTTCGAGACTCCATTTCAATGGGTCCTCACAAACATGCTATACATTATATGTGTTCGTGACCAACCCACTTAAACACAAACCTTAATCTAAAAAAAAAGAAACACGGTCGCTAACACCGCTGTGACCTTAAGTTTATGTAAGCTCCTTATGCAACTCGATCCCGAGTTCCTATTGCTAAACGTATATACGCTTATATACAAAAAATGCATTTGTCCGGCCCCACAAAGTTGCAACTATGGATTGAAAATTGAAAGGAACTCGGCGTTTCAACACTCATCTGTTTGGGCTTTTTGCCTCTTAACTCCTTATATATATATATATATTATATTGATGTGATCGACATCTTACAAGCAAAGGGTCGGTACCAAAGTTGATCTTTAATAATGGGAAGGGGACTGTCCCTCTTAATCTTTGATACAAGGCCAAAAGTGTCCAAACGACAACTGTTCAGTTTCGAAACGGTTTCCAAGAGCCCGAGAACTCCGGCGAAGCATTGCCCATCATTGCCCAATCCACCCCTAATCCTAATGCTGGACGGTTTCCAATCGGAGAGAAAAACCAGTGCCGCCGCGGAACCCCACTGCCGTTGAGCACCAAGGAGGTTGCGGCCTTCTCTTTGCCTCGCTCGAGAAGGCGGCACCAAGGAAGCCCAGCACTTGCACTTGCACGTGTTGGCCCAAATTCCTGTCAACTATACTATATTGTTATACTATATAATATATAATGTAGATCCTGTCACATACAGTATCCTTCTAATTCTAATGTTTTTAAACCACTTTTGGCCTAAAAGGACGAGCTCAATCTTGTCACTTGAAACCCCCAAAAACAGGATATCTTGGTCGGTTCTATCATGCACCGGTGCTTTCCCAGCGTTTTCCATAAAGAACACCACATATATCCACATATGCTTTCCCAAGTTGCATATCTCCACGGCTGCAGCCTCAGACCATTTCAGACCCCAAGACTGCAGCTGGCACCAAACCAGTCTGGGCCTTTCAGATTCATATTTTTCCAATATGATTCAATGACCTACAGTTGAAACCAATTGAAATGATGGTGGGTTGATGGCACCTAAGATGACTCCCTTCAAGGAAATATTCTGATCTACGCCACGGCAGACGTGAAAAACCCAGTGTCCGCAAGGTTTGGGCTTCCTCAGTGGACATCTGCACCCACTACCCTAGAATCATTTCAAGATCAAACCCTCACCCCCCCTAGTAGAGCTCTCTAGCCTCCAGTAAAGATAGTAAAGGAAAATCAACACGGACCATCTTCCAGCTGGGAAGCAGGGTTGGAATCAAAGGTGTAGCCAAAGACGGAGCATTGCTGTCCTGTTGCCTCACCAACTCAACCGCTTGGTCCACAACGCAAGCAATCGGTTCATATAGACACCATGCAAGCACTAGGACTAAAACGAAGCAATCGGTTCACATACTTACTTAAGGACCTTATGAGGACCCAAAGGAGGTTGGAAGCAAGTCCTAAGATGGTCGCAATTCTGGCTGGGCTATCAGTTCAACGAAGCACTTTTAACATGTTTTAAAGATACAACGGAGTACCTACGACTTTACGAGACAAATCGCCCCCGAACATCCCCGAACACGGTCGCTGGCGGTCGCTCGTGGTCGTAAGATCCGATTTACGAGGCTTGGGCAACCCGGCGGTGGGAACACACCACTTGAAATTGTGTAAAAACCCGTCGACCTTTCCCTATAATACTTTTGACATCTTTTGACCTTATCATTCTTTTTCCCGAATGCGCAGCGAAGGGTTCTCGTTTAACTCTTGGGGGTCTGGGGGTAGAGCCTTGTTCGCGACCCGTTGCTTCTATGTTCGCAACCGTCCGCAACCGTCCACAACCGTCCGCAGCAGAGCGCTAAGGCGCTGCCATTGGGGGAAGCTTTTGCAGGTGACTTTTCATGGACGTGTCACGTGTCAGTTCGCGCCGCTATTCCATTGTGATTTGCATGAAAATGACATGCCGCGCAAGAAACCAAATGCGTTTCGCTGCACAGGCGCAGCGTTTTGTGAGATCTGCAGATTGCTGCGCAGTTCCATTGGGATTAGCGTTTGGAGAGTCGTTTTTTGGGGGTGTTGGATGTGGCTGTGCCATTGGGATTTGCACCCTGGCACGGCGTGACGGAACAGCCTCCTGCCGTCCCTCTGCCCGCACCAAGCGTCACTCCTGACCCGAATGAAAAACAAGGTTCCACTGTTCCAGGCACAGAAACCAAGCCACAAGACACCCATCGACTCCTGAACCGAATGAAAAAATCAAGGTTCTGGCAGGCAATTTGACTGTTCCAAGGCACAGAAAGCAAGCCAGAAGACCCCCTTCGAACGTGTGCTCAGAACGGGTCGAAATCATTCCAAACGTGTGGTGTGGTGCAAATTTTGTTGAAGCTCACATGAGACGATAATTATTGTCACTTTTCGTGGCAGGCGCAGTACATTTGTGCGGCTTTTGAGGTGTGGAAGTGCGATTCTCGTGAGGTTGCGAGGTGTGACGGAGGTGACATTTCGTGGCAGGCGCAGTACTTTGTGTGCGTTAGACGTGTGGAGGCGGAAAGATTCGTGGCAGGCGCAGGGAATCGGGAGGTTGTGGTAGAGGTGAATGTCGCTGTCACATTGGGATTGGCGTGTGAGCGGGTGTCGTTTGGAGGGGCTGGAATCGCGAAACTGCTTGGCAGGGCTGCGTGATGTATGTGCTCCGATGGGTGTTTCCGCTGGACTTTTGGAGGAAGTCTCGTGCGAAACGTTCGTTTTGCAGACTTTGACATGTGAGAAGAAGTCTCGTACAAAACGCTCGTTTTGGGGACTTGACATGTGACTTTTGGAGGAAGTCTCGTTTTGGAGACTTGACGTGTGACTTTTGGAGGAAGTCTCGTACGAAACGCTCGTTTTTGAGACTTGACGCGTGACTTTTGGATGAAGTCTGGTACGAAAAGCTCGTCTTGCAGCCTCGCAGCGTGACTTTTGGAGGAAGTCTCGTACGAAGAGTGTGCCCTACAGGAGTGTCCCACAAGAGTGTTCTACAAGAGTGTCCCACAAGAGTGTCCTACAAGAGTATCCCACAAGAGTTTCCTACAAGAGTGTCCCACAAGAGCGTCCCACAAGAGTGTCCCACAAGAGTCTCCTACAAGAGTGTCCCACAAGAGTGTACCACAAGAGTGTCCCGTATGAGTGCCCCACAAGAGTGTCCCACAAGAGTGTCCCGCATGTCCCACAAAAGTGTCCTACAAGAGTGTCCCACAAGAGTGTCCCGTATGAGTGTCCCACAAGAGTGTCCCACAAGTGTGTCCCACAAGAGTGTCCGACAAGAGTGTCCCATAAGAGTGGCCCACAAGAGTGTCCCACAAGAGTGTGCAACAAGAGTGTCCCGTTAGAGTGTCCCACAAGAGTGTCCTACAAGAGTGTCCCACAAGAGTGTCCTACAAGAGTGTCCCGTAAGAGTGTCCCACAAGAGTGTCCCACAAGAGTGTCCCGCAACCGTGTCCCACAAGAGTTAAGAGTGTCCCACAAGAGTGTCCTATAAGAGTGTCCCACAAGAGTGTCCCACAAGAGTGCCCTACAAGAGTGTCCCACAAGAGTGTCCTACAAGAGTGTCCCACAAGAGTGTCCTACAAGAGTATCCCACAAGAGCTTCCTACAAGAGTGTCCTATAAGAGTGTCTCACAAGAGTGTCCCTTAAGAGTGTTCCACAAGAGTGTCCCGCAACAGTGTCCCATAAGAGTGTCCTACAAGAGTGTCCCACAAGAGTGTCCTACAAGAGTGTCCCACAAGAGTGTCCCACAAGAGTATCCCATAAGAGTGTTCTACAGGAGTGTCCCACAAGAGTGTCCCACAAGAGTTTCCTACAAGAGTGTCCCACAAGAGTGTCCCGCATGTCCCACAAGAGTGTCCTACAAGAGTGTCCCGTATGAGTGTCCCACAAGAGTGTCCCACAAGAGTGTCCTGCAAGAGTGTCCCACAAGAGTGTCCCAAATGAGTTAGCCACAGGAGTGTCCCACAAGAGTGTCCCGCAACAGTGTCCGGCAAGAGTGTCTCACAAGAGTGTCCCTTAAGAGTGTCCCACAAGAGTGTCCCGCAACCGTGTCCCACAAGAGCTTCCTACAAGAGTGTCCTACAAGAGCTTCCTACAAGAGTGTCCCACAAGAGTGCCCCACAAGAGTGTCCCACAAGAGTGTCCTACAGGAGTATCCCACAAGAGTGTCCTACAAGAGTGTCCCACCAGAGTTTCCTACTAGAGTGTCCCACAAGAGTGTCCCACAAGAGTGTCCCGTAAGAGTGTCCCACAAGAGTTTCCTACAAGAGTGACCCACAAGAGTGTCCCACAAGAGTGTCCTACAAGAGCGTCATTTGGACATATGTAGCTTTTCGAACGTTTTTGCATTCGGGTTCGTGGGCTCCATCTTGTTTATTCCTTATCGTTTTGCAGCACTTTGACCAACTGCAACAAATGTATTATTATTTAGGTACAGTATATTGTAGTGTGTGCACTACATTCATGTCATTAGTGCAAACCTTGCAGATATGAAAACATTAGGCACACTTCATTTCAACTACACCCATGTGGTGGCCTGCCTATGGAAAGGTGTTTTAGGCTCGCCGTGTTATCGTTTTGGTATCGTTTTCATGACTGGTGCAAGTTGGAAAACCATGTGGCACGAGGCTACAGCCGTCCAAGCCCTTTCCCACCTCTGTCCAAGATTGTCCAAGCATATACCACTTCTCGCATGTCAAGGGTTTTCCGCAAGAGTCATCGGGGGTTGTCGTTTTTTTGCTTCCTTATCGTTTTACAGGGGATTGAGCATGCTTCCAGAAAAACGGACATGCGAATACTAATTTCTTACATGGGGGGGGTTTTATACTCTCTCACTTGCCAAGCCAAACGCACGGAAGGGTGATCTGGATCAACATAAAGTATATAGTAAAATATCTGTAATGGAGTTGAAACGATTTTACAGCAATGGGATCCTAAACTCTTGAGTCTGCGCATTCGCTTCAGACCCCATCTGCTAGGCGAATCGCGCGAAACTCCCACCTTGTCCCGAAGTTGCAGGATCCAGTCGTGGGAAAAGCTGGAGAAGTCCAGGCCATGCTTCTCAGCCACCTGTTTATCGAGGCACACATGAGCCGATGGAAAGCTGAGACAGGCGACCTATTTGACAGTTTTGAACGGTTCTTTCTTGTTCAAGATTTCCCGAAGAAGCTCGGGCTTCGCAAGAAGGTTCATTGAAGGGCGGTCGCCGAGGACGTTTGCCAAAGGTTTGGTGTTCGAAGGATACCACCAGGAAGAGAGTATATACATGTATATACTTAGTTAAAACTGAGGGAGACAAGCTTTGTATTAATCAATATGTATATATATTATTTCCTATTCGAGCGGGCTGCAATAGCAGCGGGGCGCTTGTCATGTCCAGCGCCTCTCTCAAGGTTTGGACGAAGTTCTTACGCGCGTCGGGAGGAGCCATGGCAACGAGGATGGTGAGGACGGTGCGTTGAAGTTGGTAGGCTGACCTTACGACCCTTTAGACACTGACATAGGGGGCCTGGTTAGTATACAGCAATATATGCATATATAGAATGTATATATTATATATAAATATATTTCAAGTGACTACTTCACTACAACAGCTTAAGGCTTTGCGGCATTGTGGTCTGGCACCTCGATGATTCAGGAGCTCTCATCTCTGGCCACTCGAGCCCTTTGCTCAATGAAAAGGCTGCAAGGCGCCCACGACCTGCGCCACTGATTTCTAGGTCTGGGCTTTTGGGCTTTGGCAGGCGGCCTTCACTGCGGCCCTCTCCTCTTTTGCTTTTCAAATCGATCCAAATCGGCAAACCAGCGCTGCACCAGGCGTCTGTGGCCCAGCTTCCGGATCTTCAAATCCTCAAAGAGACGAGGATCCAACCGGGTCGGACGGATCTCAGCGCGATCTCGATCGCTTTCCAAGTACCGTTCGGCCACGTCTCGTACGGTGCGATGGCCTTGGGCCATCATCAGCGGTAGATATCTCAATAGAAAACCCTTGGGATCCAATAACTGAAGCCAGTCATTGAGTTCCAATGCTGGCATCCGTTCCATCAGCTTCTCTCGCGTGCCCTCCAGTTGAAACACCCCTGGATGGAAGGCCACCGGTGTCACCATCGGTGGAGTCGCCGGCAGGGCGGGGCGCACGGCCAAGGTCCAGCCATCGAGGTCAGAGAGATGCTTGGTGGCAGCCGTCTGCGCAGCCTCTACGGTGCGGAAGAGCAACCTGCCGCAGCCCTTGGGCTCTCCATTCTTCTTATAAAAGACTTGGCAACTCACAATCTCACCACAGTCCTTGGAACGATGTCAACACGTGTTCACGACGTATGTCACACTAAGTCAAGGTGTATGCTACAGAATGCTCCAGACAAAGTGACCGCAGAGTGGGCAGTTGAGAAAATGCGAGTTAAAGAATATGTTGTAGTTCTGCTGCTCCACAATTCTACTCAGACTCTATCTTCCAACGCCGCAGTTTTCCAACGCCGCAGTTTGCATCTACAAATACCTTAGTAGTGGCTAACATGTAGCAACCATGAAATTGAATCACTGATTCCTTGCCATGAGACCTCGAAATGGCGCCGCAAGTGCTCCTTCGGACCGGACACGGGTTTTGTTCGCTCACACGCTCACTGAAATGAGAACAGCACCGGGCTTTTGGGCCTTTGGGACCAAACCATCCATCGAAGGGCCGTCCTCCTTGGTGTGCCAACTCAGGCTCTCCACGAAGACCTCCCGCTCCGTAGGCCGCTCCTTCCCTGGTCTGAAGCGTCGCACCTGCAGCACCCGTCCGCCGAGCTCCAGGACCTCCCGTAGGGCGTGGGCAGCGCTGCTGGGCGACCGGAAGCGCACCTGGCCGCAGCCTCTGGAACGGCCAGAAGGATCCCGGAAAAGACGCGCGGAATGGATTGGCCCACCTGGGCCGAGACGTTGACGTTGTGAGGCTCAGCTTTGGGTTCCTATCTTGGAGGCATGTCTTTTTTTGCAATCGAACCTGTTCTACTATGTTCTACTACTGTTAGAACGGCAGGGCAAGATCCACATGTGCCCCCCCCACAATTGGTATGGACATGCAAAAGGAGGAGTTGTACGGCCCTGGGCCCTGTCATTCTATCTGGTGTTCAAGGTAGTGTCCTATAATTACTCACCAACCTCTCAAAGCAGCTGGGCGTGAGCGTGTACCTTTCCTATGTATATATAGATATAACAAAAATTAACAAAACATGCAATGGTCTTCACCCATGCACTGTTGGTGGGTCTGCGGGCAGTCCTTACAACTGCCAACCCCCAAAAAAGTTCAGATCTTCACAAATTCAATGCTCAAGGTTCGGAACATGTGGGCACACCACACGCGAAAAGAGTCATTCTCACGCTGGGCAGTTCAAGTAGCTGCCTTGTCCCTTTGCGCGAATGTGATGCCAACACCAACAGCACGACTGGGCAACAGTGCTTCTCAACATGTTGGTGCCAAATTGTTAAGAGTTGCATGTGACATGTGGAAGGAAACGACTCACGGCTGGGCGTGCGGATGCCTGCCGACCTCTAAGGCTCTAGTCTTAGACCACCGATTGCCAGAGCATGCCAGAGCCAAAGGGATCCAGGTAGATAGACAGAGAAAGGAGTTTCGGCAGAAACAAGCTTACAGTGGTTTTCAGGGCAGATGGCACCAAATGTCCAAGTTCGGTGGTTTAAAAGGACCCCCATCTCAAAGACATCTTGGGGGTTGTGCCATCTACTCTCTCAAACCACAGTAATGGCTTTGACGGGGAGACTCTCGCAAAACCCCGGTGCATCCCGCTCAGAACCCTGGTGTTGCCCAACCTGACGCCTGAATTGTGCCTGAGACAAGCTGTAAAGGTCACAGTGCGGTCAAATTCAGAGTGGCTTGAGGCCCACAGGCACTTGAACAGAAGGCTATTGCATTGAATCGGGGGCCTACTTGGAGCATCAGCATCCACATCCACCCTTTTCAGGAACCTCTAAACTTTAGTCTTCAAACATGACCGTCTGCCCCATAAAATCCCTGCCACTTGCCTGTCACCCCCCGCCATGTCTCTTCACGGCACGGCACACCGTTCGAAGAAGTCCCGCAAGGCCTCCTCGGTGGTGCGATAGCTCAAACCACCCACGAAGATCACCGGCTCGGCCTGGTGATCTTTGGCCAACTCGGTTCCGCCAGAACCGCGCGCGAGGTGCTGGCGGATCTGCTCTTCAGTGAACTCACCTGCCAGGGAGGTAAGTGGAGCTACCGGGCTTTTCCGCAGCACCGAATCCTTTTGAAGACTCCCGACTCTACACAGGCCCGCCAATTGCCACCAAGTCACCCTCAAAGAAAGTAAGGAGCTCATCGATGGTGTATGCAGTGCTCATCTTCCGTCGCTAGCGCACATGCAGCTCTAGCCATTTCCAGCTGTGGTCCGATGGTATCATGCATCTTGGAAAATGGGCACTTATTGAGCTTTGGCAACCGCCCTAAAACAGCTGAGGTATGCTGAATCTTGCTGAAGTAGTCAAAATATATCAAAGTAATTATTATGTGTTAAGGTGCTAAGATTGAAATGTCACGTGCCATCATGGCACAACCTTCTTCTCAACCTGCACCAACGGTTTAGCTATATATATATATTATATTAGAGATGCCCTCGGAAGTGATGTTGTCTGCTGTTGGATTCGGTTCTAAGTTCTTTGAAGATGGCCGTGGGTCGTTGTCGGTTTTCACGGTTTTCGGTTCTCTCGTGTCGAATGTGAATCAAATCAAGCGACGAACCTCAGCGGAGCCAAAAGGCCGTGGGTCGTTCCTGCGCTGTGCCGAGCTGCGAGCTGCGCCCCAGTGCAAACGATCCCATGGAGCAGAATTGACCCCGAGGGTCACGGATTCTTCCATGTTCCGAATACCAACCCAGTGAGTTTCGGGGTTCCAGGCTAGGCTAATCTGCAAATCACTGACTGGTTATTGCAGTGCTGATCACCGACGGGCACGCACAGGTATCCATCTTTTTGGAAGGCACGAGCAGGTCCTGGTGCGGCCTTTGGCAGCATGGAAAAACCTGCCGATTTCTAAACGGTGAAATCAAGAGACCTTGAGGTCTCGGACTGTGATGGCTTGAGGCTTTCATCCTACTTCCATGAGGTAGTCAGATATACAAACTCATGGTCTTAAGTGTCCATGACACCTGATCGAAAGCAACGCGTCCCTAATGGTGGGGGATCTTCCCGCATTGACACCCTTTCAAACTGCCCCGAAACCATCATTTGGTCACAGGGTCAGCTGAATGAAAAGACGTTTTCGTTCACTGCCGCCAGCCCGTGACCGCTAAGCACTGACCGCATCCGCAGCAAACGTCACTGCTCGAAGCGAACGCCTCAGCGTTAACAAGGGATCTTTGTATTTCGGGGTTCATCTGCGATTTCTATGCTAAAAGTAATGTAAAATGTTGATTGATAAAACCCCCTTATTTAGATTGTAAAGCCTCCTCATGAGGGAGGTTGAAATATAAACATTAATCAACGGTCTATATACATTAGGTGATCGAGGGGTCGTGGCAGCTGTCAGCTCTTTTGATCAGTCACCTGTCTCCAACCATCGAGTTTTATGACTTCCTCGTGTGCATCATGACGTGGCCCATTGGACAATCATTTTTGTTGGGGTGGGTGGGCCAATAAGGACATTCAATTGGATTCAGTGAAGAATGGACCTGATATAGACGTTCAATGTTTTTCAATTTTTCTCAACCTGACTTCAATGTTGACCCACAACCTAGTAACTGTGGATGTGCGGGCCATGTCACCCAAGTGAAAGCCTCTGAGTTCACATCGCCAGGTGAACCCTGGCTATTCATCCCAAAAGGTGTTTAATCCATTTAATCCACCGCTTGTTTGCCCCTGCTCGTAGTGGATGGTCAACACGAGTCGACCCCGTCGTTGGTGCCCAGCGCTGCTCTCTGAGGCCCCATCAGCTGGCGCCGCTGCGGGGCGACACGGGCATGACTCGACCCTGCTGGCGCCGAGTAAGGACCAGTGAGCGGCACAAAAGCGGGGAGGAACCCGTCCAAATCCATGGAAGTGGATGAACTCCACCTGTTTTTTTCTCCAGGATTTCATGATCATCCAAGGAGCCATGCCATCCACTTCCATGATTGCTCCAGGGAGTGTAGTTGTATGTAGTTGTACATCATTTGTCGGGGCTCACCCTCTTACAGATCAGAATGCCCGTGCTGCAACCGTCTCAGAGTCTCAACGCTAGAAATGTGCGGTCCACCCAGCTGGTGCTGATGTTGCATTGATGATGGCATTAAGGAATTCCAAACATAAGGAGACCCCTGGGACTATCAGGGGCTATCAAAGACCAGGGTGGTTCCAGGCTCCCAACTTGGTAGCCGCCATCACCCTTTAAGTTTGGGCAACGCATTGCATAATTATATCATCTGCTGGTGTCAGCACCGCCGCCCCAAGCACCTCGCTGGTCAAGAGTGATGGGCAAGCTCCGCAGGGCCTGGAGCTTGCGCGACTTCTGTGAACTGCCCCACACAGGAGAGTGCAGGATGCTGTATGATGGTCCTGATCATCCGATTGCGGTTGACTACGCTAGCTATTAATACCTGCCGTACTACCAACTTGTGAACGTCACTGCATCCCTTCATTGCTGTCAAACATCCCAGCACTCAGCACCACACACGAGCGACCGCATATCAGCCAAGCTGGCACCTGCCCGACGAGGCAACACTGAAAGTCCGGCCTTGAACACACATTCAACACTTTATCCCCCTCTGGACATCATGCTTGCAACTAACCTGGGCCTATGAATGAGCTGGTGACCTGGCGACCTGTATTAATAACAACCCCCCTCCCAGATGAAGAGGTTCTACAAACCAAATGTTACTTGTTTTCTTCAATCAAGAGTCTACACTCTTAAGCATTTGACTCGCCCTTCTCCTGGCCACCAACTTCAACCTCCCTCACTCCAGTGGACCCTCTCCCATCCCAGGCATCGCCTGGCGCATCCTTCGGCGCGCGGCTGAACCTCGGAGGCTGAACCAGCGCTGCTGACGCGGTGGCGGATCTTCACGGATGTGGCTTCAGGAATCCCCTCTTTTTGGTGGTCAATCGGGCCTCTTAAAAAGAGACGGGCGGGTGTTGAAACTGCCAACAAATATTAGATCATATAATCATATATATATATATATTAGTCTTGCTAACAAGTAATTCGAATGATTCTAATTAGCTGGGGCAGGGCCCTACTGGCATGGATCAAGATTGATAAATGTGCTTATTCGAGCCACTACGAAATGATTCGATGATGAACTGACAATGTTGGGGCGTGAGGATCTGGGGAGCAAGACACCGCTAGAAGTACTGTTAGGTTCAATGGATGTTAATTCACCAATGGCAACCCATTCTTGAAGTCCTTCCTGACAATTTGCCGAGGTGCAGTCCGAATTTTGGCACTGACTGGAAGCCCAAAACGTGGCAAAAGAAATCCTAGGATGAGCAATATGTTCAACATTCACGGACAAAACACACGAGATGCCGCTCGAAAGCTAAGAGAAAAATATACACGTGGTCCACGAGATTTGTGTCATCCCGGATGCGCGGGATCTAATTGAACGCAATCATTGAATCATGCTCGTTTGGCGTCGTCGCTACTATTTTTAGATGTTGTAGATCAACAGTGTCAACATGAACTAGTCAAAGAATCAAGGGCTCTAGACAAACAGGCTGAGCTTGAACTCCCTTAAGATGCCATCAAGAGTCTGTGAAGGTGTGGCAGTTCCTGCAGTCGGAAGAACTCGAACCAATACAAACCAAATTGTAGCCCATGGCCATGGTGACACGCCCATCTTGATTCTGGAGTTGGAGGCGATCTTTCTTGCACGCTTCAACACATGCCAACACACATCCAGAGACAGCCCCATCCCCCTGTTGTCTTCCTGGAAATCGGATTGTATGTCCATGCAGGCCACTTCATTCTAATCAGCCTCAGCTGAAAAACTGAGCAGCTTCTAAAAGCAAGCATGTTAAATTGTTCAAACCACATGTGGTATTGCTTAGGGTATATACTTGGAAACACTCTTGTTCAGAGTTTCATAAATCCAAACATGCAATGCTTCGCAAAGAAAACAAAGGAAGACGCTGCACAAGCTATATATATATATACATGTGCAACATTATGCAACGAGGTATGTGAGCGATGTCCGTGGCCTTTTTCATAGTCACGTTAAAGTGCCAAGTGGAAAAAGTGCATGAAGCCTCAAAATCATCACCGCCACGGTCCACTCGGCAAAGCGCCCAGTAAAACGTGACATGACTGCAGCTGCCAATGCAGTCGTTTGACACTCACACACGGATCACAACAAATGATATGCCGCCAATGATCGATCAGGATGCTTAACGGTGGTGAAAAACCTCGGGAAGCAGTCGACCCAACACAGAAGAAAGGAACAGACATCACGCATACTTCATACGCCCTGGTCGCGATGTTTGCCACTCCTGCGGCCTCTTTTTCTGGAGCCAGGTCGCGGCATGATTTCTTCAAAGCCATCAGGAGTGATCTTTGTGGAGCCCAAAGCCACCTGCAGGGACCGGCGGCAAATCAATGCCAGATGAAGTCTGCAGGAGAAGGAGGAAGATCGTCAGACGAATGATGATCAGTCCCCAGTCCCCAGGGTTCCTGCCAATTTGTCTGACAAGGCTGCCAAACAAAGTCGCGATCAGTGTGACAGTTTGGTACTTGAACTGAGCACAATGAACAGTGTGACGCTTGCACCGAACAAAGAGTCCAACAAACAGACTGATCAGTGATGTACAATGGTTGATTTGAAGGAATCCTAGGGGGCTCCTTTGCCGTGCTAGCTCGACAAAACCTCAGTTGAGAAGCCAACGAGATGCATCCTTAGGCGAGATAACTTGGGAGGAACATTCCTACTACAGTAATGCAATGAATAGGTGATGAGGGTGACAATCCTTTTCGGAGCCCTCCATGTTGAAACGCTTCACCAGCAGTTCACATTGTGAAGTGTGGCCCTCTGGTATGGAATAAGAACTCGCCATGCTTCAACAAAATCAGGGCTTAATCTTCAGCACTCAGGGTTGCACGACATCCGAGCATCCAAGAATCCAGTGTCTTGACTTGAAGCGTTGATGTCAGCGCTGCTCACATTAGATTGAATGTAACCTATATTATATATCTACTAATATACAGTACTACAAAGAACTGTGCCCCACAGAGCGCGAAGCATTCTTGTAGTCATCGTAATCTTTTGAGTCCTCGAATTCCTTCACTGTGATCAATCAAGCTCACTGCTTTTGCCCATCCACAGAAGCGCCTAGACCGCTCGCTGCGCTTTTTGTTTGTTGCCCAGTCGCACTGGTGCGGTAGCGGTGCACGGGGTGCTGCTTGGGCGTAGCGCAGTTCACTCCATGGAA